TTGGCTGAGAAATGTTTGATTTATATACACATTGGGAAGATTGCTTTTTCTCATTTCCCCTTAACATTGAGGTCAAAGTAGTGAGACAAAAGACAAAATATAAAAATACAAGGTAGCAAAAAGTCAAATTTCTGTATTTTTCCACTTAGTACAGTGCTTACAAATCTTTCTCTTTCTATATATAGCCACAGCCTATGGAACCATCATATTCCAGAAGTTGGAAAGAACCTTAGAATATTTCAAATTCCCCCACCCACACTTTTCCCAATAAAGAAGCTGACTCTTGGAGAGGTGACATGCATGGTGTAGCTAACTAGCTAGTGACAGTTCTTTGTGATTACAAGTTAGTAGCAGTCAAGACCAGGTCTCAGTCCTTATGATTCCTGATACAGTGCTCTGTCCAAGAGAGAACCATCTTTTAAATGTCCCCATTCTCCCATTATTCTCCTACCAACTCTAAATAGTTCTAACTATTGTGATGGCAGTTTTTCAACAACTGTAAAGAAGTATTGGTTTCTCTTTCTAGTGCTCAGTTGACAGCTCTGTGTTTTATTACTGACTATGTGTTTTGCACTCCTATTGGCAATTGGAATTACCCTGGGGGTGACATGAGGTTTCTGAGCAGAAATCAATTATAATGGAATACATGATTTTTTTCTTTTCTTTTTTCTTTTTTTACTTTCTACAAGCAATTTATAAACCTTCAAGAATATGTCTATTGCTCTGAGTGCTCTGTTTTCCAATAAGTTGATTTGCCTTATGATAATAAGCTATCAATACTGCAAAGCCCTGGGTGGATATCATGCCTCTACATGATGGGAGGCGTGCCTAGCTTGAATCCCTCAATCTCAAGGTAGCAGCTCAATATAGACCGCTTCAAGAATGTTACCCATAACTTTTTAAAGCCTCTGTTCACAGATGGCTGAACCCTATTCCAACCCTGTTTCAGGCTGCGAGCCTGGCTTTGGCAGCTCTCCATTTGTGGGCGCTTGTGATTCCCATTATCTTTTGGGAGTCAAACTCCCAACCACCACCACTTCCTGTTCCCATCTTTGGAACTCATGACTTCAGCCTGTCATTATGCTACATGTTTTAGTTTTCTGTCAGGTCCACAAAGATACTTATCCTGTTTTAAAGTATATATTGCAATATATATATAAATATATATTACATATATTTATATATATTTTATAGTTTTGTTTTTATTTTAGCTCCTATTATTATGTAAAGTCATAGCACATCTTGACCTGAAATCTCCAAACTAGGTCTTAGGAGCAACTTAGGTGTGGTATTCAGTTATACTGCTGTTGTATTCCTTGGGGTTGTGATGATTAGTGATGAGGAACAAATTTAGTCTCTACTTTCTAAAGATTGCTCCAATTTGTCTAAAGGAATTCTTAGGATGAACATCAACATTTTGAAATTTCTTTATCTCCCTTGTGTGCCCTTTGACCATTGTTAGTGTAGACAAGAGAAAAATGCCAAGATTCAAACGCTTTTCAAAATTTCAGCATGTACCCAGAGCCGTGTAAACTTAGTAAGTTTCTGGGATTAGTGGTATAACTAACGAGGATTTCAAACAGAAAAGGGAAGTATGGTAGGCAGTATTGAGAAATGGCCCCTAAGATTCTCACCTCCTGGTATACACACACTGTATAAGCGCTCACCCCTCAGAGTGTGAGTAAGATTGTGAATTTGTTCGGGTTTCCCTCCCATGATTAGGTTATGTTATATGGCAAGGTTGAAGAAAATTTTCAGATGTAATTAAGGTCTTTAATCAGTTGGATTTTAGTTAATCAAAAGAGAGATCAGTCAGGCAGAGAAAGACAAATACCATGTGACCTCACTTACATGTGGACTCTAAGAACAAAATAAATGAACAAACAAAATGGGAGCAGACTCATAGATACAGAGAACGAACTGATGATTGCCAGATGGGAGGAGGGTTAGGGGGCTGAGTGGAAAAGGCGAAGAAATTAAGAGGTACAAATTAGTAGTTACAAAATGGTCACAGGGATGTAAAGTATAGCATAAGGAATATAGTCAATAATATTGTAATAACTATGTATAATGCCAGCTGAGTACTAGACTACTTGGGGGAATCACTTTGTAAATTGTATAAATGTCTAACCACTATGCTGTGTACCTGAAACTAATATAAAATAATATTGAATGTCCACTCTAATTGAAAAATAAAAATAAAAAGACTTTTACATGAGGAAAGAGAGAGAGATCATCCTCAATGGGCCTGAACTAATCAGGTGAGCCTTTAAAAGGGACTGGGCCCTTCTTAAAGGGAGACATTTGAAGCAAAGGGGAGATTATCCTGCTGGCTTTGAAGAAGAACTGAGAGCAACCTCAAGTTTCTGAGAGTGACCCCTGGTCATTAACCAGCAAGAAAATGGGGATATCAGCCCTGCAATTGCAAGGAACTAAATTCTACTAACACTTTGAATAACCCTGAAAGATGACCCTGTACATCAGCTGAGAATGCAGCTGGCTGACATCTTAATTTCAGCCTGACAAAATATATGTTGTTTTAAGCCTCTAACTTTGTGGTAATTTGTTACACTGCAATAGAGGTGAATACGAGAAAGCATGCTGGCCATTACTCTGATATTTTATAGACCAATGTGTGAATGTCACACAATCTCAGAAAAACCGTATAGCCAGCAACCATACGAGGGCAAGTGGCAGTAGTGACCGACATTAATGATCATGCTGGTCCACAGGCTGTTACCTCTCTAGGTCTTTGGGATCAATTGCCGCACAGAGTCAGTTGAGAAGCACCAGAATGTTTAAGTGTTTGCAACATTAACAAGATACAATATTTATCATCTTCACAGTACCTCAGACATGGGGAAACTTCAACTTCAAGAGTAACACCAAACACAAGCACAGGCTATAGATTAAGACATTGATTTCCGATTAAGTTAAAAGATGTCTACCAGTATGAGGTAAGACCTGCCACAGAAATGACATGCTGCTTTTTAAGCAGTAAAACCAGCATCATCTACTGGTTATACTTGAACTTGGTAACAGAACCCAGAGACCTTGCAGCACAGAAAGGTCAAAGGTTGCACTAGGCTGTACACGTGCAAAGGTCAGATTACAACAGAACACCTGAGATGCTAGATAGTAAATTCAATGGGCAAGCTGTCAGATGGTGGATGGAAAACCTTGTAAAGATCCAGCAAAGCTCAAAGTCAAATGATGAGGTGTAGCCACTGACCAATGAGAAACAATAGCAAATAGACAAACCAGGGGCAGAGCAGTTATAGGCAGGTGCACCTGTAAGTGTGCACGAAAAACACCTGAAACTGCTACCCAACAGGGCAGTTGATTTCTGTATTTACTGTGGAAGAAACTTATATTTAAACTTTTAACATGAAAATACATCCTTTATAATAGAATCTTCTGAAGCACTAAATTCATTATAAACCAGGGGTGTCTGGACACCATTATAACTGGAAGCACTCAGAACATCTTACTGTTTTATGACATAAACCATGAGGATAGTCGTATAATTCGGTGACCATATTATTTACTTTTCCACGACTTACTTCAATTTCAAAAACTCTTAGACTCCACACGTCTAGTTTTTGGTCCAGAAAGCCTGTCATTCCTAAGTGCTACCAGTGGCAAGATCCATTTGATAGCCAATAAAAGCTCAAAAAAGCAGGCCGCCTGCAGGTGCTTGTTCCCACTTCATAAAGAGATTATGTTCAGAGAACAACACAGGCTCCTCCGCTTTGATGTGGCTAATTTTGCCATCTCCATATGCAATCTCCATATCGTACCTGGCCCCTTCAATTAGCAATAGAGAAAATTTGCTCTCCAGGCCCTCACCTCATAGAGGTCAGCATTCATTTGATCACTATCTACTTCCTGCCAGAGCTCTTGTGATATTTGACAGACATAGATTAGGGGAATGTAATCTATCCATTCTTCCAGGGAGTCTAAATTTTATCAAATTAGATAACCGGTCCTTAAAGTGCTTGTGCCCATGATCCATCGGAATAGAGAGAAAGACCTTCAAGCCTTCCTATCTCTCCTAGCTTAAGAAGTAACAATAGATTGGACTAATCATGGCCCATCACAAGATGCTCATGGCCATGAACTATACCTTGAGAACTCCTGAGTTAGATGATGTGAAAGCTATGTTACTTGTGGCTTCTCCTGCCTGGCTCTTTACGTTCTACCTTCAAGATGAAATGCCTTTGCTAAATAATCTTAGGCATGTTGATGTTATACCATGAACATAAGAAATGATCACATCAACAATATTTTGACAAACCTGCACTGATGAAGACATTATTCATTACATTTTCTTTTTGTATAAGAGCCAATAGAATAAATTGCTTCAAAATTTAATACAAGAAAATAATAAATTTATCTAGGTGAACTAAGTTTTATTTTATCATTCAGTGAGAAATACTGGCAACCAAGAAGCTCAGAGTAAAGGTCAATGCTCAATTATAGTAACTCTATTAGCCTTGGGATACACACACACACACACACACACACACACACACACACATATATGTGTATATATATGTATACACACACACATACATATATCTCTTTCCTAACTGTATATATTTTTTCTATTTGTATTTCAATGCCCTGCTGATAAAGTGTTTTTTATAGATACCTCAAATCATTTTAGGGAGTAGGTGAGTTGTACATTTTAAAACATTCAAGTGAAATAATAAGCACAAAGCTTTAAGAACATATTTTAAAAGCCCAAATCTTATATTTTAAGAGGTACTATAATATAGTGGCTTTTTAGGTAAAAAGCCATACTACTTGGTTCAAACGTCAACTCAGCCATTCCTGACTCTAAGCAAGGTGTTAGGCTCTCTGTGATTCAGCTTCTTTATTTCTAAAATGGAGAAAATAAGGGTATCTCCTTATACCTTAGCACATGGTATGATCAAACTATCATATCCTATTAGGCTTCTGGACTTATCCATTCAAATGCAAGATGTAATGCTTACCTACTGTGGCAGATGCTGATGAGAACAGAGATTTGCCCCAGGAGCCCCAGCCTGCCCATCCCCCTCCATGTGGAGGGGAATCCACTACCTGTAGAAAAACAGATGGTCCACAATGTCAGCAATTCAGTTTATCTCTGAATGGAAAAACATGCATTGGTTTGAAACAAAGGGAAGGGTTTTTTTCTTTGTTTGTTTTTTGTTTGTTTGTTTTTTTTAAACACCAACAACCATTTCTCACTGGCTTATACTGTATAAGGGCCATAAAAGAATACACCAACCCACACTGCAATATGTACTTTGGAGCCAAATTGATTAGTAGTGGTGTTGGCTACTGAGGGCTTGGTTTGAATAAGAAGGGAGTTTGATGTTAACAAAGACCCAAATATTCTACCATCTGGAAGACAGGGACAGGACTATGGGAGGAAATATTGAATATATTAGGGCATGAGAGTGATTTGAAAAGTTTAAAACAACTTTGACTCATGCAATTTTTACAGAACTAAACAACTGTGCTCTTCAAGGCAGAGTTAACTTCCAAATCTCTAGGGTGGTGCCATGAGTAATGGGCAAGGTGTCTAGAAAAGCATCAATGAGCCTGGAGATGGGTAGTAATAACAGGTGGGCTTTTGAGGCACACATCTTTTAAGGTGTTCACTCCACCCACAATGATCCCTGTAACCATATCTCTACCTGTCCATGGGTGTAGTGGATTTGAATTCTTTTGCCCAGGTATTTGTAATGGGACTGAGAGACTCTGGTTCAGCTTGAGCTGGCTGCTTGAATAGAAGATGAAAACTCAGAAAATGTAGGGTAAACATATTCTATCCACCATGCAGACTAAGAATTAAGAGAAAGCAGAGTGAGCAGACGGAAGGAGATATATTCAGAGAAGCTGTCTGAATTCCTGAAACTTTCTCAGTCCCTGGTTGCTGCTCCTCTTCAAGGCTCTGCTGTATTCTTATCTTTGGGTTCTACAAGATTCCTGCATAATGTATGTCTGTCTCTCTGTGTGTCTGTCTGTCTCTCTCCCTCTCCACTGGTGTATTCCCAGAGTCTAGAAGAGTGCATGGAACATAATGAGTTTTTAATAAACTTATTTGTTGAAATAACTGAAATTCATCTATTTCCTTAAGTGCACAACAGTTTCTGTTACTTGCAACCAATGCATCCTGATTCGATGAGTGGAACCACATCTTTCTCTTACTATCTAGGAATATATTCTAGAAAGCAATGGAATAATACATTAGGAGTTGGAGAATCACAATGTTTTCACTCAAAAAAGAAAAGAGAAAAAAAAGAAGTTAAAGAGGAAGTAAAAAATTCCTACAAAGTTTGTAGATTCTCTAATTTGTGACCCAAAGCTGGTCCATCGGTTGTCCCCAACTCCCTTTTCCCTGCTGTTTGCCACTCCTGCAGATAAGAGTGGACATATGAAACAGTTTTGAACTAATAAGATATAATTTGAAAAGTTTTGCCAATAAATTATACAGTTACAGCTGGTGCTAGCTCTTTCCCCTTTCTTTGTTCTTACTCTGAATGTGAACATAATACTTGAAACTGAAGCAGCCATTTTTGCTGCCATGAGAGAAAGGCTAGGGAATTTCAGAGTCACTGGTCCTGGCACTGCTGAGCTACTAAACCAATGTGAGTAACTGCCTATCTCTTTCTTTTTTGTTAAGTGAGAAAAACGTAAATTGCTATTTTGTAAGCCACTGCGTGTTGGATTTTAGTTACTCGCACCCAAATGCATTCCTCGCTGATTTGCCCAGTAAATATCAGACATCATCTGTCATTATAGACTACTGGTCAAGAGAAAAGGTTATGGAATTAAACTGATTGGGCAGCAACAAGTTACTCAAGTCTTTTAAGCTATCATTTACTCTTTGTGGTAGTATAAGAACCAATAGCCTCAGAGGGTTATTGTGAAGATTAAAAGAAATAATTTACATAATGCTGTGACTGGACGTGGTTCCATAGTGTAATGGTTAGCAGGTCTGCTTTACACATAGAAGGTCCGGGTTCACACCCCAGTGGAGCCATAGTCCATGGTCTACGACCATGCCACCCTGAACAAGCCCAATATCTGATCTCGGAAGCTAAGCAGGGTCCCGCCTGGTTAGTACTTGGATGGGAGACCACCTATAAAGACCAGGTACTGCAGGCATAAATTAAAAAAAAAAAAAAAGGCTGTGAGTATAGTGCCTGACACTTTAAATAAATACTTCGTAAATGTTAACTAGAAATAATAATAATAAGAAACTACATTTTTAACATTGAGAAGAAAAAAGCTTTGAAAGTTGGCTGGCATTTTTTTTTTTTTTTTTGGAAACAATGAGAAGACTAGTAACAAGAATGAAAATACTCATGAGTCATGACTGTAAGCTTTCATTTTTGGTGTCTACATTGATTTGCTTCACTTTGGCAACTGAAGCCAATGGCAATTTTATACCATCATGAAGACAGTTGTAAGCTAGTGATTAATATTCTTTAATGGGACAAATCACTACCTATGTGATTAGGGAGAGTTAAAACACTTAAGGGTGACAGCTTCTGACTCAAATTTATAATGCTTAATATGCTCTGACAGTTTGTAATTGACTAGCAAATGGAAATAAGTGTGAAATGAGTCTAGAACTTTTTGCAGTATACTAAGTGACAACTTCAATTGCTTTTTAAATAAAGCTCCCTTGACATTGAGCTGTGACCTCCTGATCAGCTACAAAGAATATTTATCAGTGGCAAATACTCAAATGACTAAATGTGCACATTTAATATAAAAACAATATAAACTAAATGTTCAACATGAATTATAAATATATCTCATCATGAGTACTGTCTTCACTTTAAATAACTTTCATGTCACATACTTATGAGACTATCAAGTAGGCAGAATGGACCTACTCAGATCTCCCATAATCAAATATGATTATTTTAAAGGTTTTCCTCACTTTCGTGCCATGTGACTCCCACCTCCTTTACAAGACAGCTTCTCATCCTATTTCATGGAGAAAACAGAAGTCATCAGAAAAGAACTCTCTCAACTTCCTGCCATCCCCCCATAAACTCTCAGAAGAATGATCTCATCTTGTAACTGCAAATCAGACCTGCCTTGATCAAGAGGGATATCTGAAACTCAACTGGAGATCATATAAACATCTATAACCATTATATGGTCCAAAGAATATGAAAGAATGCAAGATTCCACCAATTTCAAAGTTCTTTTAAATAGAAATGACATTTACATATCTGATTTCTCGTTTAAAGGTCTTTAAAGAGAAAATACATTTATTTATTTTAGGCTATCAAGTTCAAAGCTATCATTAGATAGAAAAAGATATACAAATTTTAGAATTTCACAAATTTCAAGGGTCTTTGACAATTAGACAGAAAACATATGTACCTGTCTTAAAGATCAAAGATCAACCTAATTGTCCTATTTTCTTGAGTAGATCAAGAATCACGTACTGTGTATAACTTGAGTCTAAGGATGTGAGTGATGAGAGTTATGAGACCTAACCCTTTTTAAGTTTTGTAACTCATGACATAGCTACTCTAAATGGGGGCTCAGAGTGACATTTGGGAGGATGTGAATTGCTCTGGATGCCTACAGCTCTGTCAGAATAATTGCTTGAAAATGGCCTCAGTTATTCCCAGATAATTTTCTTCCTGGAGTATGGAGCATTCAACTCTAGAAAGACTTAAACATAAATATAGAAAGGTTTAAGGCACCAAAGTCATGCTCTTAATATTTGTGTGCATATCTGGTCTTTTCTGTACTACTAAGGTTTAAGGAATTTGACCAATTAAAACGTCATTTTTTGAAAACCAGTTTTAAATGAATAATTGAATTATCAGACTTCTGATTTTTGAAATCTTCCTAAGATTATGCATAGTATTATAACATATAAGAGGTCTTTATGTCCACTCAATGAATTTAATTTAATAGATTTATAACAGTTCTTGAGTACTCAGCAAGGTTTGTTTAAGTAGATAAATGAGGTACTTAAAAAGGAAATAGAATATATGAAATTTATAAATGCAGTTTAAAAATATTTGAACGTGTTTAAGTTGAGAAAAAGGACCAAGCATTAATCAAAAGCTCCTCGAAAGTGACTGTTCAATTTTGCTAGACTTATAAATAAAGATTTGCGAGATGAATGCAAAGCCTAGGAGAAATTGAAAATTTTAATTTGTAACTTTAATACATTGAATACTAATTGTTTAACCCAAATTAAAAGTCTAAGTAGTCCTTTCTATGCAGAAACCACACAGGCCTATACCAAAAACCCATCTAAAGGCAAACTCTACTGCACCCCTACTCACAAGTCTTTCCTTCCTTTTTATCATTATGGAAGTGATGTCTTCCTCTTCATTACAGTAATCACCTCCACCTGAACTCCTCCGGGCATAGGTAGGTTGGTTTCCCCCTCCTGACTTTTCAGTCTTCTCTACTGGCTACTTCCCACATTTAATCATGAACACGATTCCTCCACCTTAAAACCTACAAATGAAAATCATGATGGCAAAATGTTTCTTCCAAACCTGGCCTGTTTTCTGCTCCATATCTTTCTTTTTCACCTCTTAGAAAAGGCGCCTACCTTCTGCACCCACCCTGCTTCACCCTTCCACCCACCATAGTAACTCTCCCATGGCCACTGCTTCATGAAACCATTCTCATCAAGGTCATGACCCCCTTACTGTCAAAACCACAGACTCGTTTTATTTCTTGACCTTTCAGCAGCATCTGAAGTTTAACCATTGTTTTCATTTTTAAAATATTCTGTTCTCACGGCTTCCATGCCCTGTCTTCTGACTCTTATGTTTATTGCCCATCCTTTAGTATTATAATTTCAGTTCATTTTAGAAAACTTCTACATCATATTGTGTGTGACACTATGGAGGCTCCTTAGATTAAGTTACAATACTAGTGCTGCCAGCATTCCAGTAATATACGCACAGTTCGAGGTGGCCAGCTGGCATCCTAATCAGGGAAGCCATACTCCAGAGGCAGCTATAATAAGCTCTTCTATTCTCTAAATTTCTATTAACACCTGATGCTTTAGTAATTAGCATACTGAATTACAGAAATGTGTTTTAACTGGTAAATATGGTGGACTGTTAACTAGCATTCTAATATCTGAAAGGAGTTCAGCTGGTGAAATTAAAGATATTTGAAATTTGTAGGTGGTTAAATATATTTTAAAGCTTCTCCCCATCTTTACATGAACAGGGTATAAAAAAGGATGTTGCTCTATGCTAAACGGTCTTCTATCCGGCTCTGAACTTTGGAGAATTCTGGTCTCTTGATGCCAGATAAGAGAATAAAACTCTGCCTCTACAATTTTAGGCATTTGCCTTAAGTGAACCATTCACTCACGCTGGTGGTCAAAGCATCTAAAAGGACAGAATAATGGGACATTCTCAAGCCAAACTGAGAAACAGTTCTCATGAACTGTTTTTAACTTTCTTGTTAATTAATGTTTAATTTAAAAATGTCAGTGTGGTACAATGAGATGTGAGATTTGATTTAATTTATAGGATGTAGTATGAGACTGTGGAGAGAAGAGGTAATTCTCACTATCTTAACTTCTTTGTTGGCTACCACAACTTATCAGAAAGGACCTATGAGCTATGTATGACCAAACTGGCTTAGAGACAGGAGCTTCCAGGGCCAAGTCCTTGGCTTCTGTTTATTTTTATATAATGCCTGAGCAATCTCGCTCGCTCCCATTACTTAAATAATATCCAAGTATTGATGGTCTCCAAATCTCTCTCTCTCTCTCTCTCTCTCTCTCTCTCTCTCTCTCTCTCCTGGACTCCAAACCATTATAACCAACTGCCCACAAAATATCTTCAGTTAGATGTCCCATAGGCATGGCCAGTACTGAACTCACCATCTCCTCATCTCATCTGATACCCCAACTAGCTCTTTCTGTGTCCTAGTATTAGTGGTTCCCAAAC